GGCAGGAGGCCCGAAAGGGTCAAAAGGGAAAGCAAGCCAAAGTAGGGGAAGGGGGGGGCAGCGATAGGATAAGGCAGAAGGGAAGGCAAATGAGGGACAAAAGGAATCCTGAAAGGCACGGGAAAGTAGAAAGTAGGAGTAAGGAAATCAGAATAGGGTCTTGGAATGTATGCGGATTTGCCACAGATGAGCGTAAAAGACTCGAAATTGCCGAGCAAGCGGCCGAAAAAGACCTGGACATAGTCGGAGTCCAAGAGTCGTGGGAGAAGGACGGGGGAGAAATAGGAAAAGAAGTGGGAAGCTACACATGGATAGGTAAAATGAGGAGAGGACAGAAAATCAAGAGTAGAGGGGAGGGGGGAGTTGGATTCTTTGTCAAGGAGCACATGTGCGACATAATTGAGGTGATCAGCGACACCAATTTCAACGAAAGCATGTGGATAAGGGTACCAGGGGAACGGGGAAGAAAGGACTTGTTCGAAGGAAATGTATATATGCCACCAGAGTCGGAGAATATGGTGAAATACATCAGGATAGGTTTCGAGGAGGTAGCAGCGGATGTACAAAACTTCAAGAGAAAGGGAGAAGTAGTTATAGTTGGGGACTTCAATTCAAGAATCGGGCGAACCACGAACCCACACGGAACCATAGGGCAATACGGGGAGGGAGCCACGAACAAAAACGGGGAAGAAATGCTGAGGTTCCTTGACAGTAGCGAGATGAAGGTGTTGAACGGTAGAGTACGAAAGACAGAACCGGAATGGACTAGGCAATGTTTCAAAAAAGGAGAACGCTCCATCCTTGACTATATAGTCGTAGAGAATGGGGGGAAAGAGACGGAAGTACGAGTATGCACAACGGATGTAGGCACTACAGACCACGCGTTGGTGTGGACAGCCCTACAACAGAAGAGAGTCATACAGAGTAGGCGACGCAGGAAAATGTACAGATGGAGAATAGATAAGCTAGAAGTAGAAGAAACGAGGGTAGAGTTCCAAGAAGAGATGGCTATAAACGACAAGAAACTCTCGGAGTTGATGGAGGCAATGGGTACACCGAAGGATGCCGAAGGCCGGGACCAGGCCGGGTCTAGAATCATAGAAGGGTGGGAAGAGCTGGTAAACACAACAGCAAGCAGAGTTCTAGGTAGAGAGTTGATAGTTTGTAAGAGAGCAGTGAAGTGGTGGGACGAAGAAATCAAGCAAGCAATTCGAGTACGTATAGAGTCACACGCAAAATATGCGGCAGGGAAAACAGATGCAGGATGGAAGGAGTATGTTGAAAGTAGAAAGAGGGTGAAGGAGTTGGTCGTGAAGAAGAAGAAAGGGTTGTGGGAGGAAGTAGTCCAAAAGATTAACGAAGATTTTGAGGGGGGGATGAAGCAAATGTGGGTAGGAATTCAAGGGATAGTGGGCAACAAAAGAGGGGGAGACACGGAAATAACGACACTAAGATCTGCCGAGGGTAAGATGGTAAGCAGTTCTAAAGGAAAGAGGGAAGTACTAGTAGAGCACTACCGCAAACTTGGGACACCCACCACCAACGACAACTTCGACTCGGAGTTTGAGAAGGAAATCAACTCGTGGGCAGAGGAAAACGTTGAAAGATCTCAGAGGGAACGTAGTGATGTAGACGGGTTGCAGGGAGAGTTCACACGAGAAGAGGTAGAGGACTGCGTAGCGAAACTCAAGAATAGAAAAGCGGCAGGGGCTGATGGAATTGTGAACGAGCTTTTGAAACAGGGGGGGGAGG